CAGACACAACCTATGCGGCTAATTTGATTTATTACTCCTTTACACCGCTGTCCATTGATTGCATTAGTATTTATCCTGCTACTGGTCATTACTCATGTACAGAACCAGTCAAAAGTTTGGACACTTACTCATTCAAGGGTTTCTTTATTTTCTACATTGTAGAATAGTGAAGACATCAACTATGAAATAACACATGGAATCATGTAACCAAAATAGTGTTAAACAAATCAAAATATTTTTTATTCTTCAAAGTAGCCACTCTTTGTTTTGCATTCTCTCAACCAGCTTCATGAGGAATGCTTTTCCATCAGTCTTGAAGGAGTTCCCACATATGCTGAGCACTTGTTGGCTGCTTCTCCTTCACTCTGCGGTCCAACTCATCCCAAACCATCTCAATTGGGTTGTCGGGTGATTGTGGAGGCCAGGTCATCTGATCTCACCACCTCCATGCTTCACGGTGGGAACCACACATGCGGAGATCATCCGTTCACCTACTCTGCGTCTCACAAAGATACGACGGTTGGAACCCAAAATCTCAAATTTGGACTCATCAGACCAAAGGACAGATTTCCACCTGTCTAATGTCCATTGCTCGTGTTTCTTGGCCCAAGCAAATCTGTATTGGTGTCCTTTAGTAGTGGTGTCTTTGCAGCATTTCGACCATGAAGGCCTGATTCACACAGTCTTCTCTGAACAGTTGATGTTGAGATGTCTGTTACTTGAACTCTGTGAAGCATTTATTTGGGCTGCAATTTCTGAGGCTGGTAACTCTAATGGACTTATTCTCTGCAGCAGAGGTAACTCTGGGTCCTCATGAGAGCCACTTTTATCATAGCGCTTGATGGTTTTTGCGACTGCACTTGAAGAAACTTTAAAAGTTCTGGACATTTTCCGGATTGACTGACCTTAATGTCTTGAAGGAGTTCCCACATATGCTGAGCACTTGTTGGCTGCTTTTCCTTTACTCCGTGGTCCAACTCATCCCAAACCATTTCAATTGGGTCGAGGTCGGGTGATGGAGGCCAGGTCATCTGATGCAGCACTCCATCACTCCCCTTGGTCAAATAGCCCTTACACAGCATTGAGGTGTGTTTTGGGTCATTGTCCTGGTGAAAAATAAATGATAGTCCCACTAAGCGCAAACCAGATGGGATGTCGTCGGAGGGGGTGGCTGCCGTTTTATGGACTCTTAACCAACCGTGCTATTTTGTGTTTTTTCGCATTTTTTGTAATTTATTTTGTACATAATGTTGCTGCTACCGTCTCTTCTGACCGAAAATAGCTTCTGGACATCAGAACAGTGATTACTCAACTTGTACTGGACAAATAATATTTAATGAGTCGGACGAGAGGGATTTGCTCCAGACACCCGACAGGGCCCTCATCCCCATCATGTAGAAAGAAAAGGAGTAATCGCGGAAGGAGATTGGGGTGCTTGTTAAGGAGCCGGCGACAAGTGGCTAATCTGCCTTTGCCATCAATACTATTGGCCAATTTACAATCGCTTGATAATAAAATGGATGAACTACAGGCACGAATATACTACCAACGGGACATTAAAAACGGTAATATCTTATGTTTCACTGAGTCGTGGCTGAACGAAGACATGAATAACATGGCGGGTTATACACTGTATCGGCAGGATAGAACAGCAGCCTCTGGTAAAACAAGGGGTGTTGAAAACAACAGCTAGTGCACGATATCTAAGATAGTCTCAAGGTTTTACTCGCCTGAGGTAGTATCTCATGATAAGCTGTAGACCACGCTATCTACCACGAGAGTTTTCATCTATATTCTTCGTAGCTGTCTATTTACCACCACAAACCAATGCTGGCACTAAGACCGCACACAATGAACTGTATACGGCCATAAGCAAACAGGAAAATGCTCATCCAGGGGCGGCACTCCTAGTGGCCGGGGACTTTAATGCAGGGAAACTTAAATCAGTTTTACCTCATTTCTACCAGCATGTTAAATGTGCAACCAGAGGGAAAAAAACTCTAGACCACCTTTACTCCACACACAGAGACGCGTGCAAAGCTCTCCCTCGCCCTCCATTTGGCAAATCTGACCATAATTCTACCCTCCTGTTTCCTGCTTACAAGCAAAAACTAAAGCAGGAAGCACCAGTGACTCGGTCAATAAAAAAATGGTCAGACAATAATAATAAGCCATTTAGCAGACGCTTTTATCCAAAGCGACTTACAGTCATGCGTGCATACATTTTTACGTATGGGTGGTCCCGGGGATCGAACCCACTACCTTGGCGTTACAAGCGCCGTGCTCTACCAGCTGAGCTACAGAGGTCCACAGATAAAGCAGATGCTAAGGTACAGGACTGTTTTGCTAGCACAGACTGGAATATGTTCCATGATTCTTCCTATGGCATTGAGGAGTACACCACATCAGTCACTGGCTTCATCAATAAGTGCATCGATGACGTCGTCCCCACAGTGACTTTACAGTGACAGTACATACCCTAACCAGAAGCCATGGATTACAGGCAACATCCACACTGAGCTAAAGGGTAGAGCCGCCGCTTTCAAGGAGCGGGACTTTAACCCAGATGCTAATAAGAAATCCCGCTATGCCCTCCGACGAAACATCAAACAGGCAAAGCGTCAATACAGGACTAAGATCGAATCGCACTACTATATGGACTTGATCTTTTACCAAATATGGCAATCTTCTGTATACCACCCCTACCTTGTCACAACACAACTGATTGGCTCAAACGCATTAAGAAGGAAAGAAATTCCACAAATTAACTTTTAACAAGACACACCTGTTAATTGAAATGCATTCCAGGTGACTACCTCATGAAGGTGGTTGAGAGAATGCCAAGCGTGTGCAATGTCATCAAGGCAAAGGGTGGCTACTTTGAAGAATCTCAAATATAAAATATATTTTGATTTGTTTAACACTTTTCTGGTTACTACATTTTACATTTTTAAATTTTCGTCATTTAGCAGACGCTCTTATCCAGAGCAACTTACAAATTGTTGCATTCACCTTATGATAGCCAGTGGGACAACCACTTTACAATATATACATTTTTTGGGGGGTGGGGGAGGGTAGAAGGATTACTTTTATCCTATCCCAGGTATTCCTTAAAGAGGTGGGGTTTCAAGTGTCTCCGGAAGGTGGTGAGTGACTCCACTGTCCTGGCGTCGTGAGGGAGCTTGTTCCACCATTGGGGTGCCAGAGCAGCGAACAGTTTTGACTGGGCTAGCGGGAACTGTGCTTCCGCAGAGGTAGGGGGGCCAGCAGGCCAGAGGTGGATGAACACAATGCCCTCGTTTGGGTGTAGGGACTGATCAGAGCCTGAAGGTACGGAGGTGCCGTTCCCCTCACAGCTCCGTAGGCAAGCACCATGGTCTTGTAGCAGATGCGGGCATCAACTGGAAGCCAGTGGAGTGTGCGGAGGAGTGGGATGACGTGAGAGAACTTGGGAAGGTTGAACACCAGACGGGCTGCAGCGTTCTGGATGAGTTGTAGGGGTTTAATGGCACAGGCAGGGAGCCCAGCCAACAGCGAGTTGCAGTAATCCAGACGGGAGATGACCTGTGCCGCTTCCTGTGTAAGGTAGGGTCGTACTCTGCGAATGTTGTAGAGCATGAACCTACAGGATCGGGTCACCGCTTTGATGTTAGCGGAGAACGACAGGGTGTTGTCCAGGGTCACGCCAAGGTTCTTTGCACTCTGGGAGGAGGACACAACGGAGTTGTCAACCGTGATGGCGAGATCATGGAGCGGGCAGTCCTTCCCTGGGAGGAAGAGCAGCTCCGTCTTGCCGAGGTTCAGCTTGAGGTGGTGATCCGTCATCCACACTGATATGTCTGCCAGACATGCAGAGATGCGATTGGCCACCTTGTTATCAGAAGGGGGAAAGGAGAAGATTAATTGTGTGTCGTCTGCGTAGCAATGATAGGAGAGACCATGTGAGGATATGACAGCCAAGTGACTAGGAGAGGGCCTAGAACTGAGCCCTGGGGGACACCAGTGGTGAGAGCACGTGGTGCGGAGACAGATTCTCGCCACGCCACCTGGTAGGAGCGACCTGTGAGGTAGGACGCAATCCAAGAGTGAGCCGCGCCGGAGATGCCCAACTCGGAGAGGGTGGAGAGGAGGATCTGATGGTTCACAGTATCAAAGGCAGCAGATAGGTCTAGAAGGATGAGAGCAGAGGAGAGAGAGTTAGCTATAGCAGTGCGGAGAGCCTCTGTGACACAGAGAAGAGCAGTTTCAGTTGAATGACCAGTCTTGAAACCTGACTGGTTTGGATTCCATATGTGTTATTTCATAGTTTCGATGTCTTCACTATTATTCTACAATGTAGAAAATAGTAAAAATAAAGAAAGACCCTGGAATGAGTAGGTGTGTCCAAACTTTTCACTGGTACTGTATATTTAAGCAATAAGGCCCGACGGCGTGTGGTACATGGCCAATATACCACAGCAAAGGGCTGATCTTAAGCGCAACGCGGAGTGCCTGGACATAGCCCTTAGCTGTGGTATATTGGCCATATACCACAAACCCCCGAGGTGCCTTATTGCTATTATAATCTGGTTACCAACGTAATTAGAGTGGTAAAAATACATGTTTCATATTACCATAAGTATTTATATATTCCTGCGACCAGTCACTTTTCAGCCTGGTTTACATGTATATTCTACTACCAGTCACTTTTTATTTATAAACCCACCTCAACCACTCCAGTACCCCTGCACATTTAGTGAGGGACTGGCAGTGACCTGTATATACTTGCATTCTCGTGTTTCTAACTCACATTGTAGTTTTTGTGTGGTTTAATTTTTAAAATATTGTTCGGGTTTGCACCTGCTGTATCCTGTGCACGTGGCGAATAAACTTTGAAACTTGAAAATAATAATTCCCATACCCAAAATGTATAATTAATTTTGAGAACCGGAAAACAAGACTAACTCCTTCCACTGAGGGACGATAGTGAGTCGTTTTCGACCCACACCCTGCGATAAGACACCACAGAGAAAGAAGAGTGTAAACCTATTTTTTACAGTCTATGGTGTAAACAGAAGGATATGGCCGACGAGAGGGGTGGAGGCGACAACAATATCAACGACAACATGGGCAACCAACTACAGCTCTTACCCGGTAAATGTGTCTTCAATTTAATTGCATTGGTAAACTAGTGTACTGAAGCATACGTTGGTTATTGTAAATGGTAAAGCTTCGTTATGCACGCCAGAATCAGTTTTCTATTCTGCAAAGAATCGAGGCCACACTCCACTTCAAGTGACAGAGCATAATCAACTCACTCAATCGCTGTCGCAGTGAAGCAAGTTTTTTATCTTTACGGATTGATTGCTTGTTTTATAATTTCTAATATCTTTCTAATTACATAGCTAGCTAGCTATGGAATTGTTTCAACAGACTGTAAGTAAACTGTCTATTTAGCTAGCTAGCTACCATGTATGCTAATGTGATTTAATTCCCAGCTGCTAGTCATGTCAGTCTACTTGGCATAGAGATGCAATAGCTTGACAGAGCTAGGTTTTCTGGTCAGTGTGTGTGTGTGATCAAAGGTATTCATCTTCATGTCCAACAGGTTATGCTATTGTCAACACAATGACTAAGGGAAATATTAGTAGTATAATTTTTTTTTAATGGGGTAATTTGTAGTGAAAGAGAAAGTACATATTTGCTTGTTTAAGTATGTATTGCTTGCCACTCACTATTATTCTTACAGAAAATGAAGAGGAAGAGGAGAATGAGATGGAGACTGAAGACCGTGACAGTGAGAATGCAGAAAAACCAAACATAAACTTTGACCCCAGTCTTCCAACGTCACATGCTGTGGGTTTTATATTTACTTCTACAAAGTATTGTTGTGCAGCTGTATCAGTATTCAGTGTGGGGATTTCTACACAGTACTTATTCTTCTTTCCGTATCTGGGAAATGCATCCCTTGTGCCTTTAGTCACTTAGTCTGTAATTTATTCAAATAAGTGGCGCAGTTAGATTTGCCTACTGATTCCAGTAGTGTTGTTTCTTCATGTATCTGATAATGTCTCTCCCTCTAATCCCGCCCCCCCCCCACTTCCCTCCCAGTACCTGGGCTCAGACATGGAGGAGTTTCATGGGCGCACAGTGCACGATGACGACAGCTGCCAGACCATCCCAGTGCTGCCGTTCACAGCTGTCATGCTGATCCCAGGACAGACCCTGCCGCTGCAGCTCTTTAGACCGCAGGAGGTCAGCATGATGCGCAGCATTATCCAGAGAGACCGCACCTTTGCTGTTCTCGCACACAGGTATGGAGGGAGAGAGGAGGAGGACGGGAGAGGGGGAGGGAGTGTGTATGGGTTCAGCAAGAGTGTGAATCGTAATGGGCTGCATTCCAATTGACTACCCCTCTCCACAATGTTTTCTCTTGCTCTTTCTCTGTCATGTATTTGAATGCATTGGATTGGTGTGTATTGCGCTGCGTGTGAGCATGGCTAGAGTAGAGCACAGAAGGGTGTTGCTAAATAGATGTGTGTCTCTGTACCCCCTCCCAGTGAAACAGGTGAGGTGCAGGCAGAGTTTGGGACGACGGCTGAGATCTATGCTTACCGGGAGGAGCAGGAGTACGGCATTGAGACAGTCAAAGTGAAGGCAGTCGGACGGCAGCGGTTCAAGGTCCATGAGATTAGAACCCAGGCAGACGGGTGAGTGGAACTAAATGTTACTGACCAGACCAGAACGGCCTAGAACCTCGTAGAACCTGGGCATTATAATGAGTAAAACAGATAATAAGACACAGACCAACATCTATCCAATCTGTCTATCAGTTGAGCTTCACTCTGAATTTCATTATCATTCTCAGATTCATAAAGGCATTGTCTTCATGGCCTTATAAGTAGAGATGATGCATGAGAAGGAAATATTTTGGAAGTGATACCACAAGTAACCACAAGATGGAAAACTCACTTTATTTGTATCATCTGAGTGGAAAGGCACATAAGACACTTCCCTATAAGGGGTGGACAATCATATATCCACAGACACTGGTAAACCGATTGTTTTGTGACCAGCAGTATATAGTTACAGCAGTGTTTGTTTCCCAAATACGTGGATGTGTCCCACTGGGAGAGTTCTATTGGATGCACTCACAGGACAATTCCAAAAGGATGGCTAATAGCAGCCTTTCTTATTTAAAGTATGGGTCGGGGGGGTGGGTCTCAACTTCCTGTTGAGAGTTAGAATAGTAGAATACACGAGGTGCAATTTTGAAATTTGGTTGTGCATCAGCAATTTCTCTTGATATTTCAGTCACTGACCAGGTTTCCATCCTGCCTTTTTATGCAAGTAAAGTACGTCGGATAAAACATTTCACGACAGGCCTGATGGAAACAGCTAATTTCTCGGTAACCTTTCCAAAAATCTTGACAAAACAAAATACATTAGACAAGGTGGGATCTTTTTGTGTCTGTAAAATGTACAGTGGCTTGCAAAAGTATTCACCCCCCTTGGCATTTTTACTATTTTGTTGCCTTACAACCTGGAACGAAAATAGATTTTTGGGGGGTTTGTATCATTTGTTTTACACAACATGCCTACCACTTTGAAGATGCAAAATATATTTTATTGTGAAACAAACAAGAAATAAGACAAATAACAGAACACTTGAGTGTGCGTGATCTATTCACCCCCCCCCCCCAAAGTCAATACTTTGTAGAGCCACCTTTTTCAGCAATTACAGCTGCAAGTCTCTTGGGGTATGCCTCTATAAGCTTGGCACATCAAGCCACTGGGATTTTTGCCCATTCTTCAAGGCAAACTGCTCCAGCTCCTTCAAGTTGGATGGGTTCCGCTGGTGTACAGCAATCTTTAGTCATACCACAGATTCTCAATTGGATTGAGGTCTGGGCTTTGACTAGGCCATTCCAAGACATTTACATTTAAATTTTAGTCATTTAGCAGACGCTCTTATCCAGAGCGACTTACAGTTAGTGAATGCATACATGTTAAAAAAAAATAATAATTCATACTGGCCCCCCGTGGGAAACAAACTCACATCCCTGCCGGCCAAACCCTCCCCTACCTTGGACGACGCTGGACCAATTGTGCGCCGCCCATGGGTCTTAAATGTTTCCCCTTAAACCACTCGAGTGTTGCTTTAGCAGTATGCTCAGGGTCATTGTCCTGCTGGAAGGTGAACCTCCGTCCCAGTCTCAAATCCCTGTATTTAGCGCCATCCATCATTCCTTCAATTCTGACCAGTTTCCCAGTCCCTGCCGATGTAAAACATCCCCACAGCATGATGCTGCCACAACCATGCTTCACTGTGGGGATGGTGTTCTCGGGATGAGAGGTGTTGGGTTTGCGCCAGACATAGCGTTTTCCTTGATGGCCAAAAAGCTCAATTTGACCAGAGTACCTTCTTCCAAATGGTTGGGGAGTCTCCCACATGCCTTTTGGCGAACACCAAATGTGTTTGCTTCTTTTTTTGTTCTTTAAGCAATGGCTTAAAGGCCACTCTTCCGTAAAGCCCAGCTCTGTGGAGTGTACGGCTTAAAGTGGTCCTATGGACAGATACGCCAATCTCTGCTGTGGAGCTATTTATTTTTTAGTATGTTTTGAAACAAGTAATTTTTTTCACTTCACCAATTTTTACTATTTTGTGTATGTCCATTACATGAAATCCAAATAAAAATCCATTTAAATTACAGGTTGTAATGCAACAAAATAGGAAAAACGCCAAGGGGGTGAATACTTTTGCAAGGCACTGTATTATGTGAGAAATGGCAGTGGAAATGCTTTTATGCTTATATATACTCAACAAAAATATACTGAACAAAAATATAAACGCAACATGTAAAGTCTTGGTCCCATGTTTCATGAGCTGAAATAGAATATCCCAGAAATTGTTCATACGCTCAAAAAGCTAATTTCTCTCATTTTGTGCACAAGTTTGTTTACATCCCTGTTAGTGAGCATATCTCCTTTGCCAAGATAATGCATCCACCTGACAAGTGTGGCATATCAAGAAGCTGATTTAAACAGCATGATCATTACACAGGTGCACCTTGTGCTGGGGCCACTCTAAAATGTGCAGTTTTGTCACAACACAATGTCAAGTTTAGAGGGAGTGCGCAATTGGCATGCTGACTGCAGGAATGTCCACCAGAGCTGTTGCCAGATAATTTAATTTTAATTTGTCTACCATAAGCCGCCTCCAACATTGAATTTGGCGATACGTCCAACCGGCCTCACAACTGAGACCACGTGTAACCACGCCAGCCCTCCACATCCGGCTTCTTCACCTACGGTATCATCTGAGACCATCCACCCAGACAGCTGATGAAACTGAGGAGTATTTCTGTCTGTAATAAAGCCCTTTTGTGGGGAAAACCCCATTCTGATTGGCTGGGCCAGCTCCCCAGTGGGTGGGCCTGCCTCCCAAGTGGGTGGGCCTATAACCTCCCAGGCCCACCCATGGCTGCGCCCCTGCCCAGTCGTGAAATCCATAGATTAGGGCCTAATTTATTTATTTCAAATGACTGATTTCTTTATATGAACTGTAACTCAGTAAAATTATTTAAATTGTTGCATGTTGTGTTTTATATTTTTGGTCAGTATAATAATCATCATTTTGAAGTAAACTTGGCGTCACCTGATTTTTAAAATGTTGTGGTCCTCCTACTACGACTTGGGAAAGCAGTTTATTCGGCTACAGATTAAATAAATTATGATGAACTTCACAGGGTGGTGAAAGTGCAAGGTGATGAGCTTGATGCTCCTTTCCAGTAAATATCAAGGGTCTTATTCTGGTGACATGATGATCGATGCTTGGCTGCCATTTGACAAATAAACATTCTCACACTTTTAATAATCCATAATAATATAATCATGTCGACTATACCCACACTGTTTCTGCAAGCTGTTGGCTAGAGAGCACGTGCCAATACCAGAGTGGGCACATTCGCTATATAACGCTACATTTATTGTGACACCCCACAGGGTGTATGCATGAAAAATGTATGCACTCACTAATTGTAAGTCGCTCTTGATAAGAGCGTCTGCTAAATGACAAAAATGTAAATGTAAATGACAAAACCATCAGTAGAGTTGAAAATGTGATGGAAATCCATTTAACTTGTATTTGTTATTCAGTACATGGGAATTTAACCGCAAAAGTTATTTTTATGTGCACTACGTCGTCACGCACAGCCTTATCTGCAACAAGCCAATTTTATCGAAACACATCTCTGGAGGAGATTGTTTTTATGCAGATTTTTGAATATTCCCATGAAAATCTGTCACCAATTGGATGGAAACCAAGCTAGTGCCAGTCACTCAATTAGCCAGCGAACAATTTTTAGATTGGTAAATTAGTCTAGCCAGCTATTTAAACTTGTAGTAATCATGGCCGAATACCAACCGGGCACGCAGGGCACCTCCAGGGGGCCTCCATTGATTTTGTTAGTCACGCTCACTCAGATGTCATATTAACATGGCATAAGTCATGGCAAAATGGGTAGAATTGCAGTGTATTATCTGTAAAACTGAAAAAAAAATATATCTTGCCTGTGGCAAAATGAGTAGCATTACAGGAAATTAACTTTAAAACTTTAATTTATCTCTCCGACTTCAATACTTTTTCCCACAAGGTGGTGGTGCCCCCACACCAAATCTCGCTTAGGGCTCCCAAAAGGGGGCATGTTTTCATGAGCTTGATCCCAGGAAAACACTGAATTTCTGATTTGGATCCCAGGCTGAAAAAGTTTAAGAACCCCTGGCTTATAGCACTGAGCTACAGTTTAAACGGTGGTGTTGTTATGTGACACAGTTTACTGATAGTTTTATCTGAATTTTAACTGAGGAACTTTTTAATTTAGTAACATTTTTGCTGCAACTAAAGTTTCTGCAGATCGGGAAGGTGCGGACATTTCAGTTTCTCCATTGAATAGTTATATAGGTCACACAGTTCAGTTCATATTACGTTCCAACATACAGTGGGGAAAAAAAGTATTTAGTCAGCCACCAATTGGGCCTGTAATTTTCATCATAGGTACACGTCAACTATGACAGACAAATTGAGGAAAATAAATCCAGAAAATCACATTGTAGGATTTTTAATGAATTTATTTGCAAATTATGGTGGAAAATAAGTATTTGGTCACCTACAAACAAGCAAGATTTCTGGCTCTCACAGACCTGTAACTTCTTCTTTAAGAGGCTCCTCTGTCCTCCACTCGTTACCTGTATTAATGGCACCTGTTTGAACTTGTTATTAGTATAAAAGACACCTGTCCACAACCTCAAACAGTCACACTCCAAACTCCACTATGGCCAAGACCAAAGAGCTGTCAAAGGACACCAGAAACAAAATTGTAGACCTGCACCAGGCTGGGAAGACTGAATCTGCAATAGGTAAGCAGCTTGGTTTGAAGAAATCAACTGTGGGAGCAATTATTAGGAAATGGAAGACATACAAGACCACTGATAATCTCCCTCGATCTGGGGCTCCACGCAAGATCTCACCCCGTGGGGTCAAAATGATCACAAGAACGGTGAGCAAAAATCCCAGAACCACACGGGGGACCTAGTGAATGACCTGCAGAGAGCTGGGACCAAAGTAACAAAGCCTACCATCAGTAACACACTACGCCGCCAGGGACTCAAATCCTGCAGTGCCAGACGTGTCCCCCTGCTTAAGCCAGTACATGTCCAGGCCCGTCTGAAGTTTGCTAGAGTGCATTTGGATGATCCAGAAGAGGACTGGGAGAATGTCATATGGTCAGATGAAACCAAAATAGAACTTTTTGGTAAAAACTCAACTCGTCGTGTTTGGAGGACAAAGAATGCTGAGTTGCATCCAAAGCACACCATACCTACTGTGAAGAATGGGGGTGGAAACATCATGCTTTGGGGCTGTTTTTCTGCAAAGGGACCAGGACGACTGATCCGTGTAAAGGAAAGAATGAATGGGGCCATGTATCGTGAGATTTTGAGTGAAAACCTCCTTCCATCAGCAAGGGCATTGAAGATGAAACGTGGCTGGGTCTTTCAGCATGACAATGATCCCAAACACACCGCCCGGGCAACGAAGGAGTGGCTTCGTAAGAAGCATTTCAAGGTCCTGTAGTGGCCTAGCCAGTCTCCAGATCTCAACCCCATAGAAAATCTTTGGAGGGAGTTGAAAGTCCGTGTTGCCCAGCGACAGCCCCAAAACATCACTGCTCTAGAGGAGATCTGCATGGAGGAATGGGCCAAAATACCAGCAACAGTGTGTGAAAACCTTGTGAAGACTTACAGAAAATGTTTGACCTGTTTCATTGCCAACAAAGGGTATATAACAAAGTATTGAGAAACTTTTGTTATTGACCAAATACTTATTTTCCACCATAATTTGCAAATAAATTCATTAAAAATCCTACAATGTGATTTTCAGGATTCTTTTTCTTCTCATTTTGTCTGTCATAGTTGACGTGTACCTATGATGAAAATTACAGGCCTCTCTCATCTTTTTAAGTGGGAGAACTTGCACAATTGGTGGCTGACTAAATACTTTTCCCCCCCACTGTATATGAGACATAGAGGCTGTATGACAACCGGCTGTGATTGGGAGTCCCATAGGGCGGCGCACAATTGGCCCAGCGTCGTCCGGGTTTGGCCAATGTAGGCCGTCATTGTAAATAAGAATTTGTTCTTAACTGACTTGCCTAGTTAAATAAAGGTAAAATAAAAAAAGAGGAAGAACAGGCTGCTGCACCTGGTTATTATAGGAGTCAACCGCTCACTGATAAAGCTGTTCTAGAACTTGTTCACATCACTAAGCTCCTCACTGCCATGGAAAACCCATGTGTTCCATGTACATTTAATAGTGTTTATAATGATATCTCTTCAGTCGGTCTATTCATTAGTAGGTGTACATAGACCCCCTGAGTCCAAAATGTTTTGGACCTGTTGGTGCACTTGGTGACTTACCTATGATTATGTGTAGGGGGTCATTTACCCTACACTGTGTACGCCCTGCGATCTATACACCATGGTGTCCTCTTCAACATGTGTGGACTGTTTATCAGCATTGAAATAGTCATCAGACGCACAGAGAAGAAAAAGACAATACATGTCATAGAGTACATACAGTGAGGGAAAAAAGTATTTGATCCCCTGCTGATTTTGTACATTTGCCCACTGACAAAGACATGATCAGTCTATCATTTTAATGGTAGGTTTATTTGAACAGTGAGAGACAGAATAACAACAACAAAATCCAGAAAACACATGTCAAAAATGTTATAAATTGATTTGCATTTTAATGAGGGAAATAAGTATTTGACCCCTCTGCAAAACATGACTTAGTACTTGGTGGCAAAACCCTTGTTGGCGATCAGAGGTCAGCCGTTTCTTGTAATTGGCCATCAAGTTTGCACACATCTCAGAAGGGATTTTGTCCCACTCCTCTTTGCAGATCTTCTCCAAGTCATTAAGGTTTCGAGGCTGACGTTTGGCAACTCGAACCTTCAGCTCCCTCCACAGATTTTCTATGGGATTAAGGTCTGGAGACTGGCTAGGCCACTCCAGGACCTTAATGTGCTTCTTCTTGAGCCACTCCTTTGTTGCCTTGGCCGTGTGTTTTGGGTCATTGTTATGCTGGAATACCAATCCATGACCCATTTTCAATGCCCTGGCTGAGGGAAGGATGTTCTCACCCAAGATTTGACGGTACATGGCCCCGTCCATCGTCCCTTTGATGCGGTGAAGTTGTCCTGTCCCCTTAGCAGAAAAACACCCCCAAAGCATAATGTTTCCACCTCCATGTTTGACGGTGGGGATGGTGTTCTTGGGGTCATAGGCAGCATTCCTCCTCCTCCAAACACGGCGAGTTGAGTTGATGCCAAAGAGCTCGATTTTGGTCTCATCTGACCACAACACTTTCACCCAGTTGTCCTCTGAATCATTCAGATGTTAATTGGCAAACTGTATATGTGCTTTCTTGAGCAGGGGGACCTTGCGGGCGCTGCAGGATTTCAGTCCTTCACGGCGTAGTGTGTTACCAATTTTTATTTTTTGGTGACTATGGTCCCAGCTGCCTTGAGATCATTGACAAGATCCTCCCGTGTAGTTCTGGGCTGATTCCTCACCGTTCTCATGATCATTGCAACTCCACGAGGTGAGATCTTGCATGGAGCCTCAGGCCGAGGGAGATTGACAGTTCTGTTGTGTTTCTTCCATTTGCGAATAATCGCACCAACTGTTGTCACCTTCTCACCAAGCTGCTTGGCGGTGGTCTTGTAGCCCATTCCAGCCTTGTGTAGGTCTACGATCTTGTCCCTGACATCCTTGGAGAGCTCTTTGGTCTTGGCCATGGTGGAGAGTTTGGAATCTGATTGATTGATTGCTTCTGTGGACAGGTGTCTTTTATACAGGTAACAAACTGAGATTAGGAGCACTCCCTTTAAGAGTGTGCTCCTAATCTCAGCTCGTTACCTGTATAAAAGACACCTGGGAGCCAGAAATCTTTCTGATTGAGAGGGGGTCAAATACTTATTTCCCTCATTAAAATGCAAATCAATTTATAACATTTTTGACATGTGTTTTTCTGGATTTATTTTTTGTTATTCTGTCTCTCACTGATCAAATAAACCTACCATTAAAATTATAGACTATTCATTTCTTTGTCAGTGGGCAAACGTACAAAAACAGCAGGGGATCAAATACTTTTTTCCCTCACTGTACATCCATGAATTTATTCATCTCAAAGGCAAGCCTTTCTCCTCTGACATGATTATACCACTGTAAATGGAGAAAATGGACTGGAATCTATCTTGTTAGATTTGTCACAATCTAATCAACTCAAAGTTCTGTTAGTCACCAGACTATTTCATTGAAGGAGCCTAGTTTAAATGTAGGCCTAAAATATGAGGTTATTAGCCTACAGCCTAGTGAAAATGACATTAATTTTAGCTTACCTTGGACTGAAATATGTCAGGCAGCTTGTTGGCCGTTTTCTCTCCCCTTGCACCTAGCTATCAGTGGAATTTCGGAAGGTTGTGGCTGTTTTTACTTTATGGTAACCAGCTTGTGATGACTTTGTCACAGGGAACATATCCAATTCTCCGCTAAACAAACCGACAAGCAAATAGGCCTAGTAGCAGAGATTCTGCACAGTGGTTGATAAAATCCCTGCAAATCTGACTAGTCAAGCCTGTGCACTCACTTTTGTTATTGTAACATGGAACAATGTAGCAAATGTCAATTTCCTCAAGCGCGTTTGTGGACACAATGTACCAGCCACTGCAGTTTATATTTTGAGCCTCAGCCAGTGTCACCACAGCTAGTTTGGCGATTGTGATCTAGATTCTATGAAATGGCAGTTTAAAGGAGTTTAAAAAAAAACCTGTGTCCGGTGTATGCAGCTATTCGTACAAGCTATTTGCAATGAGCACCCCTTCTAGGATCTTTTCATATCATCTGAGGAATGTTTGTACCAAATGTCATGCTTTTATCTGTTTCATAACAGTTTTTCTGTAGCTCAGCTGGTAGAGCACGGCGCTTGTAACGCCAAGGTAGTGGGTTCGATCCCCGGGACCACCCATACACGAAAAATGTATGCACGCATGACTGTAAGTCGCTTTGGATAAAAGCGTCTGCTAAATGGCATATTATATTATAAAGACCTATATTATGGCAGCCATTTTGGATTTTTGCAATAACTCTATTCCTGGTTAAATTAGAACGGGCACCCCTTCTGGGATCTTTTCATGTCACCTGAAGAATGTTTGTACCAAATTTCATGCTTTAATCCACCACGTAATGTTTTTTTCACTAAGGCCCTAGACTATCTCCTCTCGCTCTCTCTCTCCCTGATGAAGTATACTTTTGCTCTTTAATTTAAATGCATAGTATATGTACCTATGGGTTTATTCACTATCTTCCAGGATCAGACAGGCCAAGGTGCAGATCCTCCCAGAGCGGATCCTACCGGACCCCCTGACTGCAGTGCAGCTCACACCCCTGTCCCGCCTCCAAATGCACCCCTCCTCCAGACCCCCCGTCCAGAGCTGCAAACAGGCCCAGCGCTGGTGGGCCACTTACCGCCAGGTCCGACACACGCACACAATATTCCTGTGGAAATTAAGAACGGGGGGAGGGATGGAGGGAAGGTTAATTGTTTGTTAGGGGGATGTTTGGATATTTAAGATGCAGAGGAGAGGTGTCAGTCTTCAGGCCGAGACATACAAAACATGAGATGTGTTCAAATCAAGGCCCAACCTTATGGAGTATTCATATAAACTTGTTTTAGCTAGAACAGACATGCTTCTCTGTCATATGGGAAAAGGAAACATGTCTGCTCTATATACACTTGCTCCCTCCTGAATGCGACCTGGAATCCCAGTGTTGTTTGTGTTCCACAATGAAGATGTTCTCCTGCTGAGCTGTTGTTGTCAGTGTGTTTTCCTCTGTTCTCCTCAGAGGAAGTTCCACTGTGCCAACATGACCTCATGGCCTCCCTGGGTCTACGCCCTCTATGACTCTGTGAGTACTGAATACCCTGCTCATCTTCTCTGTAGGTTAGTGTACTAACCTCTCAGGGCTAGATATAACTATTGTATGTGCACAGACATAACATTTCCACTGGAACTTGATTGAGGAGATTTATTCCATAATGCGTTTCAGAGAAATACTGTAAGTGAGTTTAGTGACTGTTATGACACACATCCTGTTTGTAACATGGTTTCTTGTGTTTATCTCCCAGGAGACTCTGATGAAGAGAGTGAAGAGACAGCTCCATGAGTGGGACGAGAACCTCAAGGATGATTCCCTCCCCACAAACGCTATAGGTACAACTCCCTGGCCTGCCCTCTAGGCTATGTATACTGTGTATATACACTGAACAAAAATATAAACGCAACATGGAACAATTTCAAAGATTTTAATGAGTTACAGTTCATATAAGGAAATCAGTCAATTGGAATAAATTCATTAGGCCCTAATTTATGGATTTTACATGACTGGGAATACAGATATGCATCTGTTGGTCACAGATATCTATTTTTTTTAAGTATGGGCGTGGATCAGAAAACCAGTCAGTATCTGGTGTGACCACCATTTGACTCATGCAGCGCGACACATCTCCTTCACATAGAGTTGATCAGGCTGTTGATTGTGGCATATGGAATGTTGTCCCACTCCTCTTCAATGGCTGTGCGAAGTTGCTGAATATTTGGCGGAAACTGGAACACGCTGTCATACACGTCGATCCAGAGCATCCCTAACGTGCTCAATGGGTGATATGTCTGGTGAATATTCAGGCCATGGATGAACAAGGACATTTTCAGCTTCCAGGAATTGTGTTCAGATCATTGCGGCATGGGGCTGTGCATTATCATGCTGAAACATGAGGTGATGCCGGATGAATGGCATGACAATGGCCTCAGGATCTCATCACAGTATCTCTGCATTCAAATTGCCATAGATAAAATGCAATTGTGTTTGTTGTCCATAGCTTATGCCTGCCCATACCATAGCCCCACCGCCACCATGGGGCACTCTGTTTACAACGTTGACATCAGCAAACCACTCTCCTACACGAAGCCATACACATGGTCTGTGGTTGTGAAGCTGGTTGGATGTACTGCCAAAAGCTCTGGTGGACATACCTGCAGTCAGCATGCCAATTGCACGCTCCCTCAAAACTTGAGACATTTGTGGCATTGTGTTGCGTGACAAAACTGCACATTTGAGAGGGGCCTTTTATTGTCCCCAGCAGAAGGTATACTTGTGTAATGATCATGCTGTTTAATCAGCTTCTTGATATGCCACACCTGTCAGGTGGATGGATTATCTTGGCAAAGGAGAAATGCTGACTAACAGGGATGTAAACAAATTTGGGCACAAAATCTGTGCGAAATAAGCTTTTTGTACATATGGTCAATTTCTGGGATCTTTTATTTCAGCTCATGAAACATGTGACCAACATATGTAACTCTGTGTTGTTGTTTTTATCGCACTGCTTTGCTTTATTTTGGCCAGGTCGCAGTTGTAAATGAGAACTTGTTCTCAACTGGCTTACCTGGTTGAATAAAGGTTTAAACATTTTTGTTTTTGTTTTTTTTGTTCAGTGTATATATGCCACATAAAATCTTTAGAGTAGTACTGACAACTTCACGGAATTCTAATTCTGAACTGTAATATTCCCGCTCCCCCTCCCTCCTCCCTGTCAGATTTCTCCTATAGAGTGGCGGCCTGTCTGCCCATAGACGATGCCCTTCGGCTCCAGCTGCTGAAGATTGGGAGTGCCATCCAGAGGCTGCGCTGTGAGCTGGACATCATGGCCCGGGTGAGCACAGACACAGACGTGTGCCCACACACAGAGCCATAAATACACATCACTAAACCTTACAATTTAAAGGCCAGGCACACTGCTCAACACATGGACCAGGCAAGGACTTGTTCATCTTTAAGACACACAGAGCCTTATCCACACACGGTCCGTGCTATCAGGAATCCTTGGGACGTCCCTACCCCATTTGAAGTTGGAGTAATTTAAAATTAAGGGTTATGGTTAAGGGTAGGGGTCAGGGTTTAGGGTATGGACGTCCCAAGGATACCGAATAGCACTGACCATCCACACACTGTCTGATATGTACCCCTAAACACACACCACACATCCATCCAGCTATACCCTCTGACTCCCGACTGATCTGTCTAACCTCTGACACCCTACTCCTCCCTGCTGTTCTGTGGCAAACTCCCCTGTCTCTCTACTCTAATGCTCTAGTGTTATATACTGAACAAACATATAAATGCAACATGCAACAATTTCAAGATTTTACTGAGTTACAGTTCATACAAGGAAATCGGTCAATTGAAATAAATTCATTAGGCCCTGATCTATGGATTTCACATGACTGGGCAGGTGCGCAGCCATGGTTGGGCCTGGGAGGGCATATGCCCACCCACTTGCGAGCCAGGCCCACCCACTGGGGAGCCAGGCCCAGCCAATCAGAATGAGTTTTTCCCCATTAAAGGGCTTTATTACAGACAGAAATACTCCTCAGTTTCATCAGCTGTCCGGGTGGCTGGTCTCAGACGATCCCGCAGGTAAAGAAGCCGGCTGTGGAGGTCCTGGGCTGGCGTGGTTACACGTGGTCTGCTGTTTTTAGTCCAGTTGGACGTACTGCCAAATTCTCTAAAACGACATTGGAGGCGGCTTATGGTAGAGAAATTAACACTCAACTGGTGGATATTCCTGCAGTCAGCATGCCAATTGCATGCTCCCTCAAAACGTGAGGCATCTGTGGCATTGTGTTGTGTGACAAAACTGTACATTTTAGTGGCCTTTTATTGTCCCCAGCACAAGGTACACCTGTGTAATTATCATGCTGTTTAATCAGCTTCTTGATATGCCACACGTGTCATGGATTATCTTGGCAAAGGAGAAATGCTCACTAACAGGGATGTAAACAAATTTTTGCACCACATTTGAGAGAAATAAGCTTTTTGTGCGTATGGAACTTTTCTGGGATCTTTTATTTCCGCTCATGAAACATGGGACCAACACTTGTTTGGTTTTATATTTTTGTGCAGTATATTTAGCCGCTGCCTATATACTGTATAGTGATGATAATTTCCCCTCTGAGTTGGTGTGTTGGAGATGCTGCCTTCCTTTGTGAGCTCTCCCAGGCATTGAGAGCTGTTACAGTGCTACTTTCCTAAACCCTACCTCCATCATCATCATCATCATCATCACCCCCCTCATCTCCACTCTCACCACTGCACCCCCTGCTATGATTTCATCACTCAGAGCCTGCACCACTGCTCGCTTGTCTCTCATCGTCCCACAAAGACTCCCTTCAGATTCAACGTAAACAGAAAAAGGTGCTCTGGCATATGTCTCAGGACTTAGGGCTTAAACTGCCTCCGCACTGCGTCCATCAGCCACAGCAGGAAAACCCAGCAGAGAGGCTTAGTGTCCACCTCTGTGGGAATTGAAAGCGGAATTATGTCTGGAACATAACAGCAATTGTCTGAATGTAAAGACAGGAACAAGTGTACCTAATATCTTTCCTTTCTTCTCTCTGTTCATTCATATGGAGGGAGGGAGACAAGCGGGAAGTGCATAGAGATGCTATACATAAACAAAAGGATCATGAGCATAGAGACTCCCTCACACACAAAGACATGGGTCATGAGCATGTAGTCCTGTTGTACTCTCCCTATTTTTGTACTCTCATGATTCCAGCAAGATCATAGAAATGAAATAAGAATGGTCTAAGATTAGAACAGCAGAATCTCTATGGGCATGACCATTAGGAGAGGATGGATGTGTGTGTCAGTATGGATAGATGTGAGGTAATTCTCTAGCTTCATTATTGTAGCTGGTTTTCTTTCCTCTGATTAAAGATAATATGCACTCCCATGCTGCTGCCTGGTGAAAGAGGGTTATAAAGAGGAACACCTGGCCCTTCTGAGGTGGCCCATGACAGGTTTTTCCAAAACCTCCTAGCACAGGCAATTTTGCTACTGCTACAGAAGTCTGGTGGATTGAACATGAAGTCACATTTGTTGTCTTTTTTCCCCACAGTGCACTTCGCTGTGTTGCAAGCAGTGCCAAGATATGGAGATCACCACCAAGAATGAGATCTTCAGGTGAGGGAGAGATGCACCTAGACTCTCTGAATAGTGTCTGTCGAGTAGTCTTAACACTGGTTGTCAGAGTAAGCTGGTAGTGTGTGTGATGAGTGTTGCGAAACACAGGAGACATTGATTGTGTATGTGTGCCATTCAGAGGGTGATTTAAGTGCCTTTGAACGGGGTATGATAGTAGGTGCCAGGCGCACTGGTTTGAGTGTGTCAAGAACTGCAACGCTGCTGGGTTTTTCACGCTCAACAGTTTCCCGTGTGTATCAAGAATGGTCCACCACCCAAAGGACATCCAACCAACTTGACACAAATGTGTGAAGCATTGGGGTCAACATGGGCCAGCATCCCTGTGGAATGCTTTCAACACCTTGTAGAGTCCATGCCCTGACAAATTGAAGCTGTTCTGAGGTCAAAAGGGAGGGTGAAACTCAATATTAGGAAGGTGTTCCGAATGTTTGGTATACTCAGTGTACATAGCTGATGACTGATGTGTTTAATACAGTACACGTTTCAAACACACTATATGAATGATGCTGCAGGTGCATTTGTACTCTGCTCAAATGAGAGCGATGAAGGAAAGATTAAAGCAGAAGTTGTCTCTTGTTTGACATTCATCTAGTTACGTTTCATAATCATCTCTCTGGCTACTGTCCCATTTAGTTGGTCTAAACTGTCTGACCTGTACCTTACCTTACCACAGCATTAGCCACCTGGCCTGGGTTATTGTAGTGTGTTTGTATACTTTTAGAATATTTGTAGATTCTATACTTTAAATTTTTTGCATGTAATTTTGTACAGTCAATTTAGCTGCTATTTGTACAATTTGGTTTAGACAATAAGAAAAGTTATCTCTACCATGTCTCCTCTCTCGCTCCTCCCCCTCCCTCTCTCTCTCTCCCTCCCTCTCTCCTCCTGCAGCCTGTCTCTGTACGGCCCCATGGCAGCCTATGTCAACCCACACGGCTACGTCCATGAGACCCTGACCGTCTACAAAGCCAGCAACCTCAACCTGGTCGGAAGGCCGTCCACGCTCCACAGCTGGTTTCCAGGGTAATGCCTCTCTATACATGACACGCACATATACATTCCCTCGCTTTCACACACTGATGTACACTGACCCATTCCCCACACTATACAATCTCACCCACAGCCTTACACTCAAATTATATTCTCAAGTGACAGACATCTACTCTATATACACAGACTCACAGATGTAAACAGACAGGTAACTGCCAAAATAAAGGAAACTCCGACATACATTGTCTTAATAGGGTGTTGGGCCACCACGAGCCGCCAGAACAGCTTCAATGTGTCTTGGCATAGATTCTACAGGTGTCTGGAACTCTATTGAAGGGATGCGACATCAGTCTTCCACATCGTTTTGTGGATGTTGGTGGAAAACGCTGTCACAGGCACCGCTCCAGAATCTCCCATAAGTGTTCAATTGGGTTGAGATCTGGTGACTGAGACAGCCATGGAATATGGTTTACATTGTTTTCATGCTCATCAAACCATTCAGTGACCACTCGTGTCCTGTGGAGGGGGAGGCATTGTCATCCTGGAAGAGACCACTCCCATCAGGATAGAAATGATTCACCATAGGTTGAAGGTGATCACTCAGAATGGCTGTTTATTTATTGACTTTTACCTTGCTCAAGGGGTTTAGTGGACCTAAACCATGCCAGGAAAATGCACCCCACACCATAACAGCTCAAACAACTCAAGTGTTTCCTTTATTTTGGCAGTTACATGTACATTGCACTATAAAATATAGTCTCATTATTAGCACCTCTCACATTACCCAGGTTGTGTGATCTTGGACACATTAGAGGGGGACTGAACTCACTGATTTAGGAAATGCGACTGAGAACGAGATTTGGGTCTTAGAGGTGTGTGTTCACACATGGAAAGCGGTTTGTACATTCACTCTGCCAAAACACTACATTTACAGTCACTCATTTACATTTAAGGCACTACTTTAGCAGACACTCTTATCCAGTGCATACATTTTTGTACTGGTCCCCCGTGGGAATCGAACCCACAACCCTGGCGTTGCAAGCGTAATGCTCTACCAACTGAGCCACTCACCCTTCTACATAACTTGAAACAGTCTAACCAGGTCTTGTGTCTGGAAGTAGCCTAGGCTAACCAACTTTCGCCAATTAGTTTCAGCCGGCTGGTGTGCGACCGCCGCAAAAGTTGTTTGACATTGGATAGCCGATCTCTGTGGGGCTAGTTGGGGACGTCAATAAATTACACAATGTAAATGGGACAATATTTCCATGTTGCACACCTTTTAGTTTTCTCATTCAATGCTTTTTGTATTTGAATTTCTACAATTTATAGTTGGTTTTAGGTCTTTAAGTCATTGAAATTTGGAGCTATTGAAATGTTTTAACATTTTCCCATGTACCTTGTGTAATTTACTGATGGTCCCTAACCAGCCCCATAGGGATATCCAAAGTGAAACCAGATGTACCACGGCCTGTGTGTGTTCTGCACCCATGTGTTTGTTTAGTGGGCATTACGATCGGGTCGTGTGCCGCTGCACTTCGAATTCAGTGCTAAATTGTTGCCACCGCTGCAAAAAAGTATGTAAAGCATGTAATCATTTAAAAAAGTCATGTTTTTGTAAATATACATTTCTGCCGAGACGCAATAGCCGTGGGCTCAATGACTGGAAGCCTATGGGAACAGGTAGAAGTAGCAATGCACCCTTTGCGCTAACTTTGCCTCCACGCACTGCTGAAAAACATCCTTGGGCATACACTGGATTTTATGATTACTTGGGTGCTGCCAGCTGTGGGCATGTGGGCAGGATTGAAATAAACCGAACCCAAGGAAAGCTTACATCTCACAAATCCTTACATCTCGCAAATCTCAGTTTTGGACGATACTCACTTTATGACCAAAATGATCCTATTTACATTTTGTAGTCAATTTTGACTCTAGAATATATGTTTCTGACTCATATGATGCCACAGGCCGTTTTCAACCAGAGAAGTTGGTTTTTTGGTTCATTTGCGCTTTAATACCCTATTTGGCCTAGGAATAATATAACTGCCAAAGACTTGAAACGAAAGCGTCTGGCCCTTTTGTGTACTGTCATTTTTGGGATCGTTTGTCATTTTTGGTATAATAATAATTAATAATTGGTCATTTAGCAGACGCTCTTATCCAAAGCGACTTACAGGAGCAATTAGGGTTAAGTGCCTTGCTCAAGGGCACATCGACAGATTTTTCACCTAGTCGGCTCGGGGATTAGAAACAGCGACCTTTCGGTTACTGGCACAACGCTCTTAACCACTAAGCTACCTGCTGCCAAAAAGTGTTTCCCCTGTGGGGGGATACCTTACACGTACAGCAGCTGTGTGTGTGGGCGCCTGTGTGCATAACATCAGGCTTGACCGAGGTATTGACATAGAGCCTGAACTATTTGGAGAGAAGTGTGTGTGCTCCACTTGGTTCTCAGTGGTTCTGTAACGTAAGACCCCTTCAACCAACGCCACTCCTCAGTGCTCCTCATAAACGGCCCCCAGTATGCATTTTCTGCCTGAGATAAGGCAATTGTGCCGGTGTTAGCCTTCTGTGGTAGCTTCCTGTAATAATAATGACAGTAAAAACGGCCTCCATTTATTCTCCCCTAGGGCTGGCTCTGGTCAAGCTGAGTCTTATTCAAGTCCTCTCAGAGGGGAGGTATGGAGGGGAGGGGGAAGAAAGGGCTTCTGCTCCACTCAACCTCTCTGTGCCGCACTGCTCTTCTGGTGAAGGGTGCTATTACAGCCTTAGCGTAAGGTGTTCTGAGAAGACATGTTGTGGAAAGAGCAACAGACACACAAGATGGCAGTTTAGGCTGTCTACTGGCGTTTGTCATCTCTCGATTTTAATTGCCAGTGCTGCTGGGTGGTACTTGTCATGCAGCCAGTTCAAATGGTATGCTGTTGCCAGGAAGAGAACGCTGGGAAGCATCTTAATTAAACAGGTGTCAGATGGGAGAGAGGCTGGAGGGGAGTGGTTTGTCTGTGTGCCTTGCTTCCATCTCCCGCCGCCGTTCCCACGTGAAAGCCAACAAAGGCTTTGGTCTGAGGAGGCAATAAGGCTGGAGCAAATGGAGAGGAGATGAGTGCATTGTATTGATTAGACACAGTCTGTGTTCTTTCTCAGTGTAATATCTGGGAAGGAGAGCCTCAGAGAGCCCTTTATTAGCTGATGATTAGAGCAATGCTATCTGGTATTCCATATACAGTGCCTTGCAAAAGTATTCATCCCCCTTGGCGTTTTTCCTATTTTGTTGCATTACAACCTGTAATTTAAATTGATTTTTATTTGGATTTCATGTAATGGACATACACAAAATAGTCCAAATTGGTGAAGTGAAATGGAAAAAAACTTGTTTCAAAAAAATTTATAACGGAAAAGTGGTGCGTGCATATGTATTCACCCCCTTTGCTATGAAGCCCCTAAATAAGATCTGGTGCAACCAATTAATACCTTCAGAAGTCACATAATTTGTTAGATTGCACACAGGTGGACTTTATTTAAGTGTCACATGATCTGTCACATGATCTCAGTATATATACACCTGTTCTGAAAGGCCCCAGAGTCTGCAACACCACTAAGCAAGGGGCACCACCAAGCAAGCAGCACCATGAAGACCAAGGAGCTCTCCAAACAGGTCAGGGACAAAGTTGTGGAGAAGTACAGATTAGGGTTGGGTTATAAAAAAATATCAAACTTTGAACATCCCACGGAGCACCATTTAAATCCATTATAAAAAATTGAACGAATATGGCACCACAACAAACCTGCCAAGAGAGGGCTGCCCACCAACACTCACGGACCAGGCAAGGAGGGCATTAATCAGAGAGGCAGCAAAGAGACCAAAGATAACCCTGAAGGAGCTGCACAGCTCCACAGCGGAGATTGGAGTATCTGTCCATAGGACCACTTTAAGCCATACACTCCACAGAGCTGGGCTATATGGAAGAGTGGCCAGAAAAAAGCCATTGCTTAAAGAAAAAAAGAAGCAAACACGTTTGGTGTTCACCAAAGGGCATGTGGGAGACTCCCCAAATATATGGAAGAAGGTACTCTGGTCAGATGAGACTAAAATTGAGCTTTTTGGCCATCAAGGAAAACGCTATGTCTGGCGGAAACCCAACACCTCTCTTCACCCGGAGAACACCATCCCCACAGTGAAGCATGGTTGTGGCAGCATCATGCTGTGGGGAAGTTTTACATCGGCAGGGACTGGGAAACTGGCTCTACAAAGTATTGACTTTGGGGGGGGTGAATAGTTATGCACGCTCAAGTTTTATGTTTTGTCTTATTTCTTGTTTGTTTCACAATAAAACATATTTAGCAACTTCAAAGTCTGGGAAACTGGTCAGAATTGAAGGAATGATGGATGGCGCTAAATAGAGGGAAATTCTTGAGGGAAACCTGTTTCAGTCTTCCAGAGATTTGAGACTGGGACGGAGGTTCACCATCCAGCAGGACAATGACCCTAAGCATACTGCTAAAGCAACACTTGAGTGGTTTAAGGGGAAACATTTAAATGTCTTGGAATGGCCTAGTCAAAGCCCAGACCTCAATCCAATTGAGAATCTGTGGTATGACTTAAAGATTGCTGTACGCCAGCGGAACCCATCCAACTTGAAGGAGCTGGAGCAGTTTTGCCTTGAAGAATGGTCAAAATTCCCAGTGGCTAGATGTGCCAAGCTTATAGAGACATACCCCAAGAGACTTGCAGCTGTAATTGCTGCAAAAGCTGGCTCTACAAAGTATTGACTTTGGGGGGGGTGAATAGTTATGCACGCTCAAGTTTAATTTTTTGTCTTGTTTGTTTCACAATAAAACATATTTAGCAACTTCAAAGTGGTAGGCATGTTGTGTAAATCAAATGATACAAACCCCCCAAAAATCAATTTTAATTCCAGGTTGTAAGGCAACAAAATAGGAAAAATGCCAAGGGGGGTGAATACTTTCGCAAGCCACTGTATGTTGAGGGGGATTTGAAAGACAACCAACTAGGGTATTCGTTCTGTGTCAGGTGCCTTATAACAACAATAAGAAGAAATGTGGCATGCAGCACAAATGCATGAGGACTGATATGTTCTTTCTGTTTTTCCTCGCTCTCTCTCCCTTACCCCTCTCTCAGGTATGCCTGGACGATCGCTCAGTGTCGTACCTGTGCATCACACATGGGCTGGAAGTTCACAGCCACCAAGAAAGACTTGTCCCCTCCTCGTTTCTGGGGCTTGACCCGCTCGGCCATGCTACCCCGCATCCCCCAGACTGAGGGTGAGGAGGGGGACGAGGGCTCCCGCCTACTCTGCCTGTGACAACATGGGGACCTCCCCTCCCCACCCCCCATGTCCCCAACGGGTCTTCGATCGCCCCACCCTGTCCATTGGGTCTCTCTTTTATTAATCGATGCATCCCGCCCACCCCCGACAGCCATGGCAGCACATTCATCATATTAGTGTAAAGGTCATCCTGCTTTTAAATGGCACTTTCTAACACAGAGAGAGGGGGGGGGGAGCGAGAGAGAGCGAGCGAGGAGGAGGTAGGAGGGGTGTTTTGTTCCTGAGTGCAGGGACACTGGTGATGGAATGCGTTGCACATCGACAGATAGATGTGGGGAATGGAGCAAGAGATTAATTCTGCAACACAGGCATATCTTCCCCATAGCATGCTACTCTTGACCTGTCTGTACTGCTGTCTGTACTGTGGTCTGTCTATCCAGCTTCTATGCTATCTGCCACAGACACGGCACGCACCAGTGCATTGCCACTTGCTCTTAAACATAGTGGGTGTGACTTTGCATGCAGTATCCAGCTAGGTGTGTATAGGTTTATAGACACCCATCAAGAGGACCTGTAGTCCCCATAATCTATCTCTAAACAAATCAATCAATAGAAAGCCACTTGGGATTCAGGTCCACTGTTTGTCCTTGATGTGTTTCTCAGAGGAGCTCAATTCAGCTGGATCGTTTCATGGAGAGTTAAACCATGTAAAATCCACGATTAGAGGGTGTACGAACATGTGAAAGTATGCTGCTTTTACAAGGATGTTTCATGCCTTTGTTTCAAATGCCAGATGTTTTGATCAATCGATCATATGCAAGGAATGCATATAATGGAGGAATTTGGATCATGAAGAATGTAAGGAAGCTATTGCTTTATTTTGCCATGCGTGGAAATATATTCTTTGTTTGGTTTTCATATTTTCACATTGTCTAAAAACGTACAGTGTGTATATATAATACACATGTAGAGATACTGGTTTCTATTTTGAAACGGATGGAGGCCCATTGAACTGCAAGACATGGTTCCTCTGAAGACAAGGAGTACCTCTGGTCAGTGAAGAGTAGAGTTGGTTTGGTGCCTGGTGTAATATAGACTTGGATAGCAGGGCACAAGGCAGTGGAGCCAGAGCTACTAGAATCTCAGTCTTTCTCCATGGTTCTATATGTGTTGTTGATGCTGCACTAAGGGCATGGCTGAATGGCGTGCCTATGGTCCAAATCAATGTCTTATGAGCCACACAATTAAATGGGACATTGTGTTAATTAACCTGTATTGGTTGAAAATGGCAACATCATATCAAGTGTTACCTACATAACTATATTTTTGTTTAGATCTATGTATTTGTTTTAAATTAAGAATTGTATTCCTTGCTGATGTACAAGGTTATTTTGGCTCATGTTTGTTAAACATTTTAGAGTAAGTAACCAATAAAAGTCAATGATAGCATTTCTGGTCTGATATAACTAATGTATCTATGTAGAACCTCAACACTCTTGCCCCTCCCATTGCCATGTATTTCCATTTTAGAACAATGTAAAACATGATTGATTTGTTCAGCTCAATTATCAACAATTGAGTAAAGTAATTCTACGCAATAAGAAATGTTCTACAATACGATTGAGATTGTCTTTTGTTTATATGTGATGTCCCAGTTGGTAACCTTAAAGGTCCAATGCAGCCGTTTTTATATCAAATCATTTCTGGGTAACAATTAAAGTACCTTACTGTGATTGTTTTCAATTAAAATGGTCAAAAAGAAACATAGCTTTTTAGCAAAGAGCAATTTCCCAAGCAATAATTTTACCAGAACTGTCTGGGAGTGGTCTGACTTGGGAGGGGAAAACTGAAAACTAGCTGTTATTGGCAGAGAGGTTTGGAACTTTTATTGGTCTATTAACTTGTTTATCGCCTGGTGATGTCACCAGGCAGGCCAAAACTCCATCCCACCAAAACAGGCTGAAATTTCAGGCGGTCTTTTCAAACCACTCTTACACTAAAATGACATTATCATAATTTCTTACAGTTTTGCAGTATTATTCCAACCTCATAGTGTAGAAATATTTAAAAACAGGAAAATCATGTATTTGACTGCATTGGGCCTTTTAAGAGGAGACCATGTCATTGAAGAAGAACATTGGAGTAGCGGAAATAGAAAACAAGTAGAAAAGGAGCCTCAGATGGCTTGGTAAAAAAAAGTTTAGAAACTGTGATCTACAGTGTAAAAACAGAGCATAGTACAGTACCACAGTCAGATCACGCCATCAGCATAGAGTCCACTATATTTTCTCTGAACAGGAATGCTATGTGATCTCTTATCATTGTATTAATATTAATCTAGGTTAACCCAGGACTAAAATGTCATGTAATTTGGTCAGATGTTTACGCAGTCTGTCCACGAGAGATTACATCAATATACACTGAGTGTACAAAACATTAGGAACACCTGCTCTTTCCATGACATAGACTGACCAGGTGAATCCAGGTGAAAGCTATGATCTCTTATTGATGTCACCAAATTCACTTCAATCAGTGTAGATGAAAGGGAGAAGACCGGTTAAAGAAGGATTTATAAGCCTTGAGACAATTGAGACATGGACTGTGCATGTGTGCCATTCAGAGTGAATGGGCAAGACAAAATATTTAAGTGCCTTTGAATGGGGTATGGAAGTAGGTGCCAGGCACACCAGTTTGAGCGTGTCAAGAACTGCAATGCTGCTGGATTTTTCACGCCCAGTAGTTTCCTGTGTGTCTCAAGAATGGTCCACCACCCAAAGGACATCCAGCCAACTTGACACAACTGTGGGAAGCATTGGAGTCAACATGGGCCAGCATCCCTGTGGAACAAAAAAAAGTATGTTTGGATGACACTGAGGGGCAACGCTGTTACATCCAATGCCTGTTTGCCTGAGGCTGATGCCGCGCAGGTGCTTGTACACGTGTGCACATGCATATACACACACTCACATTCAAACGCACGCACACACACACACACACACACACACACCCATGTAAATAGTGCCACACATGCACTCAAACGTATACAGTTGGTCTTGCTGTTTAGATTTTTGTTGTCCTTGATGTCTTTTGTTTTTGCATTGTTTTTCTTTTTGTTCATTTTGTTGGTGCATTGGGGGACGGTGGCTTGTTGGGGATGGGGAATGGAGGGAGAGGTTTTTTTTAGGGGGGTCTCGGATGGTTGAGGGGCAGCTCTCTGGGAACTTTAGGGGGATCTTGGATGGTTGGTGGCCTGGCGTTTGGGAGCTTGGGCCTGTAGCCGATAGGTCGCTAGTTCGGGTCCCCGTTTTGACTTGGTGGGAGATCTTGACCCTGGTTGCTCCTGTAGCTCGCTCTGGATGGGAGTCTGTCAGATGACTGAATGTAATGTAAATGTTGAGTGGCTTCACTGCAGGTAGATTGTATGTTTTAATATAAAAAAAAAAAAAATGGACACAAATAAAAACATGGGCCAGCATCCCTGTGGATGCTTTCGACACCTTGTAGAGTCCATGCCCTGACAAAAGGGGTCCAGCTCAATATTAGGAAGGTGTTCCTAATGTTTTGTACACTCAGTGTAAGCTTTGTGATCACTTTAAATGTAATCAAACGGGCACAGTTTTTAGCTTGTTTTATTAGATATGATAAAAAATGTTCTTAAGGGTATAGCTACTCTAATGGCTTTTTCCATTTGTGATCCAGATTTACTCTTGTCATTAATGCATCAGTGTGACCTGAAGTTCCGTTGGCAGTAACATCTGTAACGTCTATCTACAAACTCATCTTGACATGTCAATATGCCTTAACGTATACTGTGTGTGTGTGTGTGTGTGTGGTTGATTGAATAAAGGCAGCTACACAGCCAGAGGTTGTCCAATATTACCAATATGGAGAAGGCAATGGAAAAGTATCTATGAAGGAAATTGTTGTCCCTTTGTGTGTTTGTTTGTGTCCTCAGTGGCAGCCCCCGGGGTCAGACTGTTTAAGGTCAATACAGTGTAATCCACCTGACAGAGACAATAACCATCACCATGGGAGAGGATCAATAGGACCATGTCTGCTGGACTTACTCTGGGGATCCTAGTCTCACAGAGCTGGTGAACACATGATTGGTCTTAATTGTGGTTTAATATAGTAGAATGAAACCAATACAGTGGACATATTTTTGTACAGTGTCTTACCAAAGAAGTTACCCAAGAGATTAGAGACCAGTGGTATCCAATCACAGCATTCCCTTTGTCAAGTTTGAGGACAAAACCCAATCTTTAGTCAGGAGCAGTGGTGGCTGCTGAGGGGAGGACGCCTCATAATAATGCCTGGAAAGGAGTGAAAGGAATGGCATCAAACACATGGAACCTATGTGTTTGATGTACACTGCTCAAAAAAATAAAGGGAACACTTAAACAACACAATGTAACTCCAAGTCAATCACACTTCTGTGAAATCAAACTGTCCACTTAGGAAGCAACACTGATTGACAATACATTTCACATGCTGTTGTGCAAATGGAATAGACAACAGGTGGAAATTATAGGCAATTAGCAAGACACCCCCAATAAAGGACTGGTTTTGCAGGTGGTGACCACAGACCACTTCTCAGTTCCTATGCTTCCTGGCTGATGTTTTGGTCACTTTTGAATGCTGGCGGTGCTTTCACTCTAGTGGTAGCATGAGACGGAGTCTACAACCCACACAAGTGGCTCAGGTAGTGCAGCTCATCCAGGATGGCACATCAATGCGTGCTGTGGCAAGAAGGTTTGCTGTGTCTGTCAGCGTAGTGTCCAGAGCATGGAGGCGCTACCAGGAGACAGGCCAGTACATCAGGAGACGTGGAGGAGGCCGTAGGAGGGCAACAACCCAGCAGCAGGACTGCTACCTCCGCCTTTGTGCAAGGAGGAGCAGGAGGAGCACTGCCAGAGCCCTGCAAAATGACCTCCAGCAGGCCACAAATGTGCATGTGTCTGCTCAAACGGTCAGAAACAGACTCCATGAGGGTGGTATGAGGGCCCGACGTCCACAGGTGGGGGTTGTGCTTACAGCCCAACACCGTGCAGGACGTTTGGCATTTGCCAGAGAACACCAAGATTGGCAAATTCGCCACTGGCGCCCTGTGCTCTTCACAGATGAAAGCAGGTTCACACTGAGCACGTGACAGAGTCTGGAGACGCTGTGGAGAACGTTCTGCTGCCTGCAACATCCTCCAGCATGACCGGTTTGGCGGTGGGTCAGTCATGGTGTGGGGTGGCATTTCTTTGGGGGGCCGCACAGCCCTCCATGTGCTCGCCAGAGGTAGCCTGACTGCCATTAGGTACCGAGATGAGAGCCATATTACCTTGCATCCTAGTGCTGGCTTGCCTCTGAAGTTAAGCAGGGTTGGGTTGGTCGAGCCTTGGGAGATGGGTGTTGGAGGGCCAGTAGGGGGCACTCTTCCCTCTACTCTAACGACACTCCAATGCCCTTGAATGTTTTCAGTGTTCTACTGTAGATAAAATCTAAATCAGGAGCTGAAAACTCCACAGCGTAAGTGTTTGTTACTTGGCACATCAAATCAAATCAAATGTTATTTGTCACATGCGCCGAATAAAACAGGTGTAGACCTTACAGTGAAATGCTTACTTACAAGCCCTTAACCAACAATGGAGTTTAAAGAAAAATAAGTGTTAAGTAAAAAATGGATAACTAAAAAATAACAAATAATGAAAGAGCAGCAGTAAAATAACAGTAGCGAGGCTATATACAGGGGGTACCGGTACAGAGTCAATGTGCGGGGGCACAGGTTAGTCGAGGTAATTGAGGTAATATGTGCATGTAGGTGGAGTTAAAGTGACTGCATAGATAATAAACAGAGTAGCAGCAGCGTAAAAGAGGGGGGGGGGGCAATGCAAATAGTCCAGGTAGCCATTTGATTAGATGTTCAGGAGTCTTATGGCTTGGGGGTAGAAGCTGTTAAGAAGCCTTTTGGACCTAGACTTGGCGCTCCGGTACCGCTTGCCGTGCGGTAGCAGAGAGAACAGTCTATGACTAGGGTGGCTGGAGTCTTTGACAATTTTTAGGGCCTTCCTCTGACAACGCCTGGTAAAGAGGTCCTGGATGGCAGTAAGCTTGGCCCCAGTGATGTACTGGGCTGTACGCACTACCCTCTGTAGTGCCTTGCGGTCGGAGGCCAAGCAGTTGCCATACCAAGCAGTGATGCAACCAGTCAGGATGCTCTCGATGGTGCAGCTGTATAACTTTTTGAGGATGTGAGGACCCATGCCAAATCTTTTCAGTCTCCTGACGGGGAATAGGCTTTGTCGTGCCCTCTTCACGACTGTCTTGGTGTATTTGGAACATGATAGTTTGTTGGTGATATGGACACCAAGGAACTTGAAGCTCTCAACCTGCTCCACTACAGCCCCGTCGATGAGAATGGGGGCGTGCTCGGTCCTCTCTTTCCTGTAGTCCACAATGATATCCTTTGTCTTGATCACGTTGAGGGAGAGGTTGTTATCCTGGCACCACCCTGCCAGGTCTCTGACCTCCTCCCATAGGCAGTCTCATTGTTGTCTGTCATCAGGCCTACCACTGTTGTGTCGTCGGCAAACTTAATGATGGTGTTGGAGTCATGCCTGGCCATGCAGTGATGGGTGAACAGGGAGTACAGGAGGGGACTGAGCACACACCCCTGAGGGGCCCTCGTGTTGA